GTGAAGCTACCCCTGGCTGTCTTCATTTGAGTGACATTGAGTCTAATGGCATCATAAAGCTTTTGAACCCAGCTGGCAGCTTAGAGCAGTGGCGCATGCTGATCTTCATGTCTGTATCTGTGTGTGTTCTTGCTGTTCCGTAGCTCTCGCGCTGTAGCTCTCTGAGCTCGCTCTCACAGGAAGTAAGCCGGCATTTCCATCAGGTACCTGTGGCTGGTGGCTCCCTCCTTCCACGGGGCTGGCTGTGTAGCCCCTGTGCCCCTTAGAGAGTCTGTTGTCCTCTTCACTTTGTCACTAACCCCTTGTCTTACCCAAGCATCCTGTGGGCAAAGACAAAATTTTCCAGCCAGGCAGTGATGGCACACACCTTTTAATCCCAGCACGCAGCAGAGGCAGGTAGATCTCTGTCAGTTTGAGGCCAGCCTGGTCTGCAGAGTGAGTTCCAGGACAGGCTTCAAAGCTACACAGAGAAATCCTGTTTCGAAAAACCAAAAAAAAAAAAGAAAGAAAGAAAGAAAGATACCATTTTCCTTTAAGGAACCTGGGTTTGTGATACTGTCTAGATACAATGTTGGTGGACTCACCTCACAGGGTTCAGAATGCTCAGGTGAGCTTCCTGACTGCTCCTTGTGAAATGGGCATGACCCCAGCCATACTGTCGGCATCTCCTGAGTTAACACTATTTGGGAAGAAAGATTTCTTCTTGCTGATGAGGCTTGAGGAAGTCTGTTTGCAGCCAATGGGATTGTGGCTATGATGGCCATTGTATGAGCAGTCTAGAGGAGACAAGGAATGCTTCTTCGCCTTCTGTTTTGGAGCCAGGCTGTGTCAGTAGCTTTTAACAAAAAGTCTTAGGGGGGCATTTCTGGCTACCTATTGGCTGTAGAGCAAGCACACTGTCCAGGTCTCCTAACTGCTTAACCAGCACTAATGAAATCTCAGTGCTCTGCATTCATTGTCTGCATGGTGTTGTTCAGATTATTTTACTGCATGGTGCTTTCACTTTGACTGTTCTGTAATGAACCATCCAGTAATGAAAACCAGTGTTGCCAGAGCTCTCTCTCTCTGGGGCCTATTTGGCACATTATTGGTCCTTTCTGAGGTGTGGCTTTTGTCTACTGCTGGGATAGCAATGTCTGAGTAATCCTGGCTTGCTGAGGTCCATCTCTGTGCTTCACAGGCTCCTGGAGATCACTGTCCTGCAGGGGCCACTCCAGGTGGGTCTGTGCCCTTTTACAACCCTGCTCAGTTGGTGCAGGTGAGTGACACTTGCCTTTGTTCCCCACAGCCCCAGCTTGCCTGCTCTGAGTCTCTTTTGTTCCTTGGCTCTTCTTTTTTTTTTTTTTTTTTTTTTGTTTTGTTTTGTTTTGTTGAGACAGGGTTTCTCTGTGTAGCCTTGGCTGTCCTAGAAATCACTTTGTAGGTCCCTGGCTATTCTTTACGCAGCCACAGGGCAGAGATCCATGGCCTCCAGTCCCTCTCCAAGTCCTGTGCCTCCCCCTCTTGTAGATTTGCCCTCTTACTTAACTTGCATCCTCCTCTTGCCTCATGTTCCTCTCACTGATTTGGGCTCTTCAGGTTCAGAGCTTTTCTTTCTGTTCTTTGCCATGGGTGAGACCAGCCTCCCATTCCTTCACAGGATGTATGGCTATCCCAGTTAGCCACAGACTCCTAGCCCAGTCCTCTGCTCTCCCTCCTGCCTCTTCCCCTCGAGAGCAGCTCTATCAAGGAGACCCCTGGTTTGGAATCTTTCATTTTTTATTCCTGATTAATGCCTCTGTCTGGGTGACACACTGTCTAGTAGCTTCAGGCCTCAGCAGTTGACTCTGGAAGACCCTTTGGCTCTTCCTAGGTACTGTGGGTTGAGAGTTTGCTGAGTGCACTTTTCAGATGGGAATTTTCTTCAGATCAGAAGTAGTAATGCCATTTTGTGGTGCCTGCTGTGAGAGTTCAAGGTCTACATTCTGTGTCTCTGGAGACTGGAATGGCGTCTTTCCTCAAGGATTTATACAGCCCTTCCCTCAGTCATTGCCCTAGGTACTTATGCCAAGAAGAGTCTGGAATGCGCTGTATGGAGAAGTGTAGTCTAACTACTGTTAGGGGGAGCTGTGTCAGGGAAGAATTCTAGGTAGGCATCTTTATTTTGGGGAGCAGGGGTCTTGAGCCAGGTACATGCTAAACAAGCCAGGTACAAGCATACATGCTAAACAAGTACTCTACAAACTGAGTTGTATCCCCAGCCCCGGGGTATGCATCTTGTGGTTTTTATTTTTTCTTTCTTTTTTATAAAAGGATAAGCAAGCAAAGTTTATTATTTATTTTATGTGTATGGGCTTTTGCTGTATATTTGTCTGTGTCATGTGCATGCCTAGTACCTTCAGAGACCAGAGGAAGGCATCAAATCTCCTGGAACTGGAGTTACAGACAGTTGTGTCAGAGGGTGCTGGGAATTGAACACAGGTCCTCTGGAAAAGCAACCAGTGCTTTTAACCACTGAGTCATCTCTCTAGCCCTTGTTTATTTATTTATTAGTTTATTTTTGTGTATGTCATGCAAAGTCTATTGAGAAATAATTAAATAATTCCTTGCAGCCAGGGAAGGTCTCAAAAATGAGTTACCCAATCAGGTGTCTTAACTTCTGAATTTGATGTTCTCAGCCTACTCTCCAGTCATGGTCACTCTCTATATAGTCCTCTTGAGGATCCTGATATCCCCTATGTGAGGATCCTGCTCCTATGTAGATGAGGTTGCTATACCCCATATTTTCAACTACAAGATCTCAGTTTTCTTCTGACCTTGTCGTTAAATAGCTCTTCCAGATTCCTTGATTTTGATCCCAGTGAGGTCCTGTGAGGGAGGAAAAATGTATGCCAGTGTTCTCTCCTGGCATGGGGCATCCCTGTGCTTTGCAGCAACGGAAGACCATACGCCACTGCCCACTCTTAGACTCACTGAACCCTTAGCTGGCCCAGCTCTGTAGTTAGCCTCAGTCCTGTCCTTGACAAAACTGTGACAGAACAAAGCATGTCTGTAGTTCTGTGGGCTAGGAAATGCTGAGCAGCAGAAACTTGGCGCCAACAGGAGGTCTCACACTTGAAGCCAGAGTTTGCCCATTTTTCAGTGATCTGTGTGTTTACCCTGTAGACTCATCCTGCTACACAGCCACTGGGCATGGACACATGTGGGTCATTGTTGTTCCTTTTGTTTCAGGCTTCAGTCACCTCGGGGAATTCAAGGCCAGGGAGGATTGGCCAAAGAAAATACGCAGCATTGAACTAGGATTGCAGCTGGATTTGTAGTTGGAACCCTGAGATGACTAGATAACTGTTCTCCACCAAGAACCAAACTAGCTGCCTCAGGTCTCATGGATCCCAGATGGACATGGCAGTAACCCAGAGCCGTTCATACTGTGTGTCTCCCTCCTTGCAGCCCATGTATATGAATTACTGAAAAATTGATTCCATGGTTCCTTTCAGATGCTGGATAGAATGAATATAATTCAAAGTCTTCTATGTAAAAGAAGAATGTTTCTTTCTTAGTCACTTTAGACAAATTAAGAATATAATAGTTTGAGTCACTTGAGAATACCCCTACAGTGAGATTAGACAGGGCTTCTCCACAGAAGAGCACAGTTCCTTGGAAACCAGGGCCTTGCTCACACAAGAAATGGTACAAGCCAACCAGGTTTCTTTAGGATGCTGAGAGAAGAGCGAGTGCTTGACTGGAGGAGAGGAGTCCTGACTCTCCTTGGGCTGCCTGGCCTAAGAGGAGCCCCAGCTGCATTTGGGCAGCTCTGCCCTGTCCTGTGAACCAGGGAGTTAACACCAGCTCCTCTAAGGCCACCAGATGGCAGTGGCTCACAGGCTGGGAGGGAAGCCATTACCAAGGCATGTCTCCAAGAAATTCCCAGCCTCACTCCATTTTCTATGGCCCGATTAGGGCTGGGTGGATTCTGCTGCTCAGAGCTTCCCCTCGTGGCCCAGTCACTGGGGAGAGCCCAGGGAGCTGATGTTCTGAAGCTGCTGATCTGACTAACCAACCAGGTCAAAACCTGGCTGCATGCTGCCAAGTACTGCCCTCCTATTGAGGGGTCTGTCTGCCCCCCCCCCCAGCTGACTCGCTGTCACCTGTGCAGACATCTTTTAGGACTTGGTGGTGTCTTGGAGTGACTTACGGTGTCCTAGCAGACACTCTGGAACCTGACATCTCTACCCCAAAGCCCATCAGGGCCCTTCAGCGGCTTCTCTCACTGACTCAGCCACATCATTCTTTAAGGAGCTGCCACTACCTTCAAACTCAGAGCTTTAAGGCTTCACTGACTGTTTCTAAAACTATCCTTTTGCTCTAAAGAGGAGGGGAAAGAGATTTTTAAATATTATAAAAATCAGGTAATTTGGGTAGGAAACAAATGGTTTGCTTGGTATTAAATTTAGAAATTGTAGAATGTGGAATTAGTACAGCCCTTCCTGGTTTTCTGGTTCCCTGCATCATCTGGGAAAGACTCACAGAATGGTTTCCAGAATGTTCCATAGATGAGTGTGCCCAGACCCTCCTGTTCTGTCACTAAGAAAGGCCTGTCCCTGTGGGTCAGTAGCAACTTATGTCCTTGTTGGGACCAGGCAGGACCCTTGCCTCTGGTGCAACCCTGTCCAGGCTCTGTGTTGACTGCCAACCACTTTTGATTCAAGATGCTTCCTCCCTGGGAGCTGCTATTTTTCCTAAATTCAAATTGTTAAATAAAATATTTTGGGCTCTCAAGTAACTTCATTTATGGCTTCCTTTGTGTTTTCAGGGGCAGGCCAGTGAGGTTTTAAGTGTGGCCAGAGCCTTGGGCTGCTGTCGGATTGGTCATGGTCTGTCTGGAGGGGGTACAGCCTCTGTAGGACAGAGGGACAGAGCTTGGCTTCATGTGGGGTTGAGACTTCCAGGAACGGGATATGATCCTCCAAGCCGCCAGGGGCCGCTGTGAGCGGTGGTGTGATCGTGAACCGGGCTGTTCGCAGGGCAACCACAGAGCGGGGCATGGGCCAGGGTGACCACTAGGCTGAGCTGTGGCGAACCCTGGGCGGGGGCCGGGGCACGGGGCAGCAGTCGTTGTTCCAGCCGCCACCGTGACTGGGCTAGCCTCACCTCCCCCAGCGCCGGGCTCTCCTGGATCAGACCAGGCGCCGGGCGGCGTGTCTGCGACCGAACGAAGGGCACAGGTGAGCCTAGGACGCCGAGCACGCTGCCCTACTCTGCCACGGTGGGGTGGAGGGCTCACCCAGGGTGTGGGACGGGCTTCTGCAGCTCCGATCTCCTGGTGCCAGTTCCTATGAGGTCTCTTTAAGACCAGCAAGCTGGCTTCAGGGAGCTAAGAGAGACTCTAGAGAGATTTTCTAGATTTCCTCAGGACTTAAGCCATGCTGCCGCAGGCCCTGCTCCAAAAAGACCGCCCCGTGCCACAAAGGGAGCCGCCCGAATTTTCTTGGCATCCATCTGGTGACCTCTGACGTGCATCCTTGACAACACAAGTTGCTTGCTTACCTCCCGGAGAGGATCCCTTTCCTTAGGAGGGCCAGACTGAGTGGGCGAGGACTGGCCAGGTCCAGACTATGCCGTCCAAGTCAGCTTATCTACGTCACACGGAGGCACCTGGGCAGCTGGAGGGCAGAATGCTCAAGGGACAGCTTCCAAATACAGCCAAGAACCTCACCCCAGCACCAGGCTCCCTACCAGCCACTGAGCCTCAGGATTCAGAGACAAATCCCATGCCTCCTTTCAGCATTCCAGCAAAACCAAGCAACCAGAACCCACAGCTACCTATGAGACCCAAGTTGGAGCGAACCCTGTCCCTGGATGATAAGGGCTGGAGAAGAAGGCGTTTCCAAGGTAGTCAGGAGGATCTGACAGTCCAGAATGGGGCCAGTCCCTGCAGGGGCTCCATGCAGGATTCTGTCACCCAGTCTTCTGCCTGCAGTCGGCCCCTACCCTGCCTCAGCACATCCTTGCAAGAGATCCCTAAGACCCGAAAGGCCACAGGCAGTGAGGGAGGGAGCCCATCGTTGTGGAGTGACTGTCTCCCTGGGATGATCAGCACCTCCTTGGACCTCTTGCACAGAGAGACAACCCCAGGTGGGGGCTCCCCCAAGTTGGCAAGTTTGCATTCTTCACACACACCACCCGCCATGGACCTCAACATAGCCTCCAGCTCCCTGAGAACAGCAAACAAGGTTGACCCTGAGCATGCTGACTACAAGCTCCGCATGCAGACCAGGCTGGTCAGGGCCCACAGCAACCTGGGCCCTAGCAGGCCCCGGAGCCCCCTGGCTGGTGATGATCACTCCATTCATTCAGCCAGGTCCTCCTTCAGCCTTCTGGCCCCCATCCGCACCAAGGACATCAGAAGCAGGTAGGATTCTTGGAGTGGCGGGGAGCTCTGGGGCTGTCATCCGTCCAGAGGCCTCTGTCTAATCAGGCCAAGGACGTAGTAAGCCAGGCATGGTGGTTCATGCTTGTAATCCCCGTACTTGAAAGGTAGAGATAGGATAATATAAGTTCAAATCCAGCCTGAGCTACATAGTGAGCTGATATATATGTATGTATGTATGTATGTATGTAAATAAAGAGGACAAGCTGCACAGGGGCCATGTAAATGGATTCACATAGAGAATGCCCGAGACTTGGAAATAGGAAATAAGACAGGACCCCCATCCCCTCTCAGACATCATGCCTTTCTCCTCCTGTCTGTATTATTCCAGTACCTTTCCTTTGTGGCTCACTGTCATCCAGAAACTATGAACCCATAAAAGTAGATCATTCTGCCTCATTCCTTATGTAGGCAGATGAGAACACACCCATCATGTTGTCATTGCTCCTGTAGTTTGTACTTCCATACACCCTGTTGGGAAGCTTTCTCAGTCAGTGTCTGAATTAGTCCCTTTTTTTTTTTTTTTTTTTTTTTTTCTCCTCCCCGTGTGGAGGATTAGAGATTTCTTTAGCTGTACTATTATTTAACCACTGCCCATGAGGAGTACTCAGGGGCCTCATAGTGATGCCTGTGGAAGCGTTGAGAGTGCTGTCCCTCACACTTTGAGCCACAGATCAGCATTTTACCAGGATATTTAGACACCAGTTAACCTACTGGACCAAGTGACATCCAAGGGGCCACTTGCAGGAACAAACCACAGGCTTGACTAGTTTATGCCCTTGGGAAAGCTTCCACACTGCCTAGAGCTACAGGGTCCCAGTGTCTGTGGTGGGGTCTTGTTGATGTCCACCGAGGCCTCTCACCTGCCACACAACATCCCAAGAATGTACAGACTTCAGTTTCTTATGCTTGATCTTTCTGACTCCAGCAATTAACTTGTATGGACTTATACTGAAAAGAGCCTGGGTGTACCCCAAGATGAGCCCTTCCTGCCTATGACTTTCCGGTGTTGGCTCCCCTTTCCTGAGTCCAGGAGCCACATCCACCACAACCATTTTGCAGGACAAGGGTAGTTGGGGAAGTGAGAACAGGGAGAATCTAGAGATGGTTCATGCATTGTTTCCACGAGCTGCCTAAACAGGTGACTGTGGGTTCGAAGGTTTCATACTAGAGAACTGGAGGCAGAGATTGAATGGAGTGTCAACAGGACTGCTTCAATCTAGAGGGCCAAAAGAGCGTTCCTTTCCTCAGAGAGAGATGTGATCTCTGGCAAGGGTAGTTTCTGCCTGTATCTCCAGGTGGTCACTTCTAAGTTTCCCAGCTGTGCTAACTCCAGGGCCCTCTGGAGATGCTGCAGTACTTATATCTGCACAGACCGTTTCTAAAGAGGGCCTCATTCTGAGGATCCTGTTGGGGGACCATTCAGTCACCTTATTCCCAGAACCCATAGGCAGCCCTACAGCTACTACCCTCTATGCCACACCTCTTCACCAAGCCTGGCTCTTCCTCGATATGCCCTAGTGCTCTTCTATCACCTCTAGTTATCAGTAGGCCAGCAATCCTTTTACTTAAAATACTTAAATATTTTTATTATTTTTAATTAGGTGTAGGGTGTGTGTGTGTGTCTGCATGTGGGTTATGTGCATGTGAGTACAGGTGCCTGCAGAGAGCAGAAGTGTTGATTCCCCAGAGCTGGGGTTATAGGCAGTTGTGAGCTGTCTGGTGTGAGTGCTGGGTACCAAACTTGGATCCTCTGGAAGAGCAGCAAGCACTCTTAACCACTGAGCCATCTCTCCATTCCCACAGGGCTCTTTTTAAAGAGTACCATTTCTACCACATTCAAAGCATTTATTACTTGCAGTCAGTCCATAGGAAGTGAAAAAAAGTCTGAGTGGGCCTCTGTTGCATCACTGGGAAGTGATGGAGGAGGGGCTGTAGCAGGCTTTCTCAGACTCCCAGCCCCCAAATCATGACACACTTATTATGAAAGCTATAAATCTGCATGCTGCCATGTGGCTTGTGGCTTTTACCGCTCCTCTTGCATGTCCTGTTTCATTTCCATCTCCTCTGGTGTCTCTCCCACGCCTAGATTCATCTCTTCTTTCCCTCTACCTGGAAGTCCCACTCCTGCCTAGCTATTGGCCATTCAGCTCTTTATTAAATTCATCAGAAAGTGCCTTGGCAAAGACACATCTTCATGGTGTACAAAAAGATTATTCCACAGCAAGGGGCTTTGTCCAGTTCTGCCTCGTACCTCATAACTCCAGTTTGTGGGAGTTGATTCTTCCCCACCATGTAGGTTCTGAGAACCAAACTTATACCATCTTGTTGGTGGCAAGCACCTTTACCTACTGAATCCTCTCATCAGCCTAAACTGCCACTTGGGGTGTGTGTGTGTGTGAGAGAGAGAGAGAGAGAGAGAGAGAGAGAGAGAGAGAGAGAGAGAGAGAGAGAGCAACAGAGACAGAGAGTAAGAGAGAGAGAAAGAAACAGGTTCTCACTATGTAGACCAGGCTGGGGGGGGCAGGTTCTCACTATGTAGACCAGGCTGGCCTTAAACTCACAAATACTTACCTCCTGGGATTAAAGGCTTCCATGCCACTTTTTCCCCAGAAGATCTGGGGTGCCCTTCCCTAAATGGGTTGGGAAGAAGCTGTGCTTCCTAAGGCTAGGCACAGCAGTGAGTTTTTACTCTGCTGCTGTCCAGTGATGTTCTGTAGCCACCTGGACAAACTGTATGGCTCCCTGGTTTGGTGGAAGCAAAGTCAGCCTCTAGGGAGGGACATGGGACTTAGGGCTGGTGTCTGAAAGACTAGCCCGTGCCTACCCTTTGCTCAGTGGTCCCTTCCTAATGATATATGATTTGGGAATGTGCTCCACCCTGACTGGTGTTTGGACCCAGCTAGGACATTGGTGACTTTGACTCATTACCTCGGAGGGAAGATCAAGAAGTTCCCTCGCTATGACAGACCAGTCTCCCTCCTGAAAGTATACAGATCTGGACCATTATGATGTTCTGCCAGTGGGGCTCACAATCATGGGTTCTGGCTTCAGTTGGCCATTGTTCTTAGAGATTTGGTTATAATTTGATCTTCAGAGGAACATGAATTTGTTCATGCATTCTTAGCAAGTTTGGAAAAACAGTAAGGTAGGCCAAGCATTGTGGAGCATACCTTCATCCCAGCTACTGGGAGACAGAAGCAGGAAGATCTCCAGTTGAAGGTCAGTCTGAGCACAGCATTACCTTGTCTCAAAGCAAAACAAAATCAAACAAACAAAAAAAAAAATCCAACCAAACAAATTGAAAAAGGTCCAAGATGTAGTAGCTCAGAGGTAAAGCTTGCTTAGCATGCATGAAGACCTGGGTTCCATCTCTTGTGTCAACAAAAATAGGGGTGGGGGTGGTTAGAGAGATGGCTTAGCAGTTGAGAACACTAGCTGTTGCTTGCAGAGGACCTGGGTTTGGTTCCCAGTACCCATTGTGGTGGCTCACAATCTTAACTCTAGTTCTAGGGAGTCTGATGCCACATTCTGACCTCCAAGAGCACTAGGTATGCACAGGGTACATATATATATACGTGCAGGCAAAACACTCATACAAATGAAAGAATTTTGGTTTTGTTGTTTTGTTTTTCAGTTTTTGGTTTTTCAAGACAGGGTTTTTCTGTGTGACAGCCCAGACAGTCCTGGAACTCACTTTGTAGACCAAGCAGGCCTTGAACTCACAGGGATCTGCCTGCCTTTGCCTCCTGAGTGCTGGGACTGAAGGCGTGGGCTGCTGTTGCCCACCAGGACTTCATTTCTTAAAGGTCTGGAGAATAATGCAAACACATCTAGTATTTCTCAGTGTATGAAAAATCATGAGATTCATATTTTTTTAATATTTTTAAAAATTTATTTGTTATGTATACAGTGTCTGCATGCATGCCTGCAGGCCAGAGGAGGACACCAAATCTCATTACAGGTGGTTGTGAGCCATCATGTGGTTGCTGGGAATTGAACTTAGAACCTCTGGAAGAGCAGCCAATGCTCTTAACCCTCTGAGTCATCTCTCCAGCCCTCAGATATTTTTAAATGCTTTATTTATTCATATTTCATGTACATTAGTGTTTTGCCTATATGTTTGTCAGTGTGAGGGTGTCAAACTCCCTGGAGCTGGTTTTAGACAGTTGTGAGCTGCCATGTAGTGAGAATTGAACCTAGATCCTCAGAAAGAGTAGCTAGTGCTCTTAACTGTCCATCTCTGTCCATGGACTTAGCCTGTTCATCTTTCCAACGCTGAGAATTGAATTAAGCACATCTTCTAGGCACACAACCTTACCCATCGTTTCTCTCTAGGGCTTTCATACCTTCTGTGCTGTAGCAATGGAGTTGAGTGATATGGCAGAGACCTGGTCATCTACAGGACTGTATATGTCCAGTATCCCTGCACAGGATGGTTGGGCAGGCCCTGTAGCACATGGTACACACATGTATCCTGGGTAGGTCAAGAGATTCCTCACAGTTAGGACTGTATCTCAACTTGACAGGTATAGCTTCATTCCACTGAACTCTGGAGATGGATTGAAATCAGAGGGAGATGAGTGCCGTACTGGGTTGTCATGAAAGTGGTGATGCACTCCAGCTGAGGGAATTCCCAACTCCAGGGGTGAGACTGATACCTGCTATGGTCAGTGTTGTCCTCAGGGCTCACATAGCTTGTAAGCCCTTTGACTTGTAGGCACCTGTCCTGAGTGAAGGGGCTTCTAGGTTACTTTGGTGTCACTCAGGCTGGCCGCTCACTTGTTGCAGGAGCTATCTGGAAGGAAGTCTTATGGCCAGCGGGGCCCTGCTAGGAGCAGACGAGCTGGCCAGGTACTTCCCAGACCGGAACATGGCTCTCTTTGTGGCTACCTGGAACATGCAGGGCCAGAAGGTGAGAGGGGTCACAGTGAGGTAAGGCAGAGGCAGCTGGGCTCCATGTCCTTGGGGAACCTATTCCAAGAGGCCCCCAGCACAGTCCTTTTGTCACAACATAGGCCTAAAGATAGGCAAGCAGGCCGCCTCCGTCTCTGTGAGTCCTTGTGAAGGACCAGGGTTGGGCATGCACCTGGGAGGATAGTCAAACCAGGTAGCATGCCGCATGATCTAGGGCCCCCAGAAAGGAGGGCCCCAGGCTGGGAGGTGGCAGGTCAACCAATTTGGGCTCAAAGAGGGAAACTGAAATACCTGACATGTCAAGGTTCTCTGGGAGACCAAACCCACAGCTGTGCACAACTTCTCTTTGAAAAGAGGCTATTTCTATGGCCACCCCCACATGACTGTGCAGGGCCTTGTTCTTCAGCTTCTACCCGCAGACCTGAGGGAGCCTAGTGGCCTTGACTGTTTTGTGGCTCTTCACTGCAGGAGCTCCCAGTGAGCCTGGATGAGTTTCTGCTCCCCACTGAGGCTGACTACACTCAGGACTTGTATGTCATTGGAGTTCAGGAGGGCTGCTCTGACAGGTGAGACACCACACAGCCTCCAGTATTGGAGCCTGCAGCATTCTGTGTGGACAGCTCACTGAGATAGGTCTGTAAGCCTGAAGGGTGGGACCTGAGGCCCTTGTATGGTTGGCTAGATGAGCAACCTCCATGCCTCGCTGAAATGAGCATAGCTGAAGTCAGTAATGTCTCAGGTTTTGTCTGCAGAAGCAGCTAAGATGCCTGGTTCATCCAGAAGCTCTGGGCTGTCGCGGTTCTCATCACATCCCATGGCATCCTGACTGGTTTCCCTGAGAAGCAGTCCCACAGCTATGTGCTCCTCACTGCATCTCCTGGGGCTTCTTGCCTGTGAGGAGAGCAGCCAGCCTTGTATGCTCTGGGAAAGGGATCCTGTCCTCAGAGCCCCCACTCCTGTCAGCCTACAGATCTCTGACAACTCATTCATGTGGGTCTTAGATGGGATGGAAAGTCTTGGGCCTGCAGCCAACCTGAAGGGTCTCAGTGCACAAGGATGTCATTAGCCCAGTCATGATTCTCAGTACAAGATGAGGCCCAGTTGTGGGGTCCTCTAGGAATGCTTCCAGGGGCTCTCTGGGCAGCATATGGGGGGAAGGTGAAGCTGGAAGTCCTCCTTTCTGTAAAGGCCATGCCCTCATCTAACCTGCCTCCTCCCCACAGGCGGGAGTGGGAGACACGCCTGCAGGAGACACTGGGCCCTCAGTATGTGTTGCTGTCATCAGCAGCGCATGGGGTCCTCTATATGTCCCTGTTTATTCGCAGGGACCTCATCTGGTTCTGCTCAGGTAGGTACCATCATGGGGCTTCTCCCCCACTGCTCCTCCCTCTCTCCGTTTCTCCCTGTCTTTCCCTTATGTGTGCATGTACCACAGAGCACATGTGGAGGTCAGAGGGCAACATGCAAGAGTCAGTTCTCTTTCCACCATGAGTTTTAGGGATCAAGCTCAGGTCTTCAGGATTGACAGCCTGCTGGCCCTTGCCATGCTTCTGTATCTACTGCTCCCAGGTCTCTAGGTACCTCCATATGCCAGCGCTTATAACATGTGGACCCTGTCTACATAGAGGTTCCCTCAAAGCAAACTGCAACCTCTCTGGCAAATGTGCACTTCCTGCCTGGGATGCAGCCTTTGAGGTTCCCATGTGTGAAAATACACACAAGCACACCTACTGTAGCTGTGTTGGTGAAGGCCCTGAACCGTCATTCCTTGCCCTGCAGAGGTCGAGTACTCCACAGTGACTACACGCATCGTGTCTCAGATCAAGACCAAGGGGGCCCTGGGCGTGAGCTTCACCTTTTTTGGCACTTCCTTCCTCTTCATCACATCTCACTTCACCTGTAAGTGCTTCCAACCCAGCCATGTGGTCCTGACACTGGCTTGTGAACAGCTTCCTCCTGGCCTCTGTCCAGGTGCGGTGCCAGTTACTCTGGGCTAGTAATGGTGGGCTCTGCCTGGCCAGGGCCTGACACTTGGAACATTCACATAGTCCTCCGAGGCAGAGGCCCTCAGCAAGGCAGCTGGGTAGTAGTGGGGGAGAGTCAGGGTGTGGGGCAGTATTTGGGGCAGGCTTTCCACAGAAGCTCAAGTGTCTCCTGTTTGTCTCATAGCTGGAGATGGGAAGGTAGCCGAGAGGTTGCTGGACTACAGCAGAACCATCCAAGCCCTAGCCCTGCCCCGGAATGTGCCAGACACAAACCCCTACCGCTCTAGTGCAGGTAAGGGTTACACAAGGCACTCAAGCACATGACTGTTTCTGTCCCTGTCCCCTGGCAGCTTAGCAGAAACCAAATCATGTAGTCCTCACTACCGAAATATCCACCAGGTTTACAGCTGGGCAGATGGGAGCCTAAAAGGTCCAGTGGCTTGCCCAGCGCTATCATTGTCCACAAGTCCTCACTGCTGACTACTTCATGGCCCTCGCTGAGTTGCGAGAAGCTGATAGGATGTGGCTAGCCTGCCATGTGCATTGAGGCTGCCCTTTGTACCTGGACTACACAGATGTCTCCCCAATCCTCTGCAGCTGTTGGCATTGGCTGTTCCCAACACTAGCCTCTTCCTGGGGGAGCTGCTCCCCAGCTGTGATTCTGTGGGGAAGGGGACCCAGACAAAGGACCTATCACTTGGCCTAGAGCTCATCCACCTGTCAGCAGATCATAGCATGTGAGGGGAGGCCAGCACCAATGTATTCTCCCACATGTGCCCAGGGGATGTCACTACCCGGTTTGATGAGGTGTTCTGGTTTGGGGACTTCAACTTCCGCCTGAGTGGTGGAAGAGTAGCTGTGGAGGCCTTCCTGAAGCGAGACCCAGTGGATGTGCTGGCACTCCTGCAACATGACCAGCTCACCCGGGAGATGAAGAAAGGTGAGTGGCCCGGGTAGCAGCACCTTAGGTGCGGCAGGCCCTTCCTGAACTCTCCTGTGTTACAGGGTCCATCTTCAGGGGCTTCGAGGAGGCAGAAATCCACTTTCTTCCATCCTACAAGTTTGACATTGGAAAGGACACCTACGACAGTACCTCTAAGCAGAGGACACCTTCCTACACGGTATATAACTCAGCCCAGCCTCAGGGCTCCTGCCAACCTAGTTCATATCAAACAGTGTGGGACTGGCACTCAACACACATCAGCCAGCCAGGTTAGACAGCCTAAAACTCAGCTCCAGGTCCAAGGCTGGTGACTGCGTGCTCACAGCTTACTGGGGGTGGAGGGTAGTCTCTGAGTGTATTACAGGGCTAAGCAAGCCATCCCTCAAAAGCAGGCCATAGTTGAATTCACACCTGGGTTCATCTACCAGGAGGGGACAAACAGGAGACTGCACTCTTGCTTGGCTTTTCCACCAGTCCTTGGCCTCTCTGGTACACAGTAGCACCTGGTGGGACCATAGGGCATCCATGAGGCAAGGTATTTCTCCACTCATCTCAGAGGGCTAGAAGGGAACAGATGCTATCCATTAGATTCCTAATAAGATGCTATCTATTGAATGCTATCCATTAGATTCCCCACAATTCAGTGGGGAGGGCTCCCTAACTGAAGCATACCTAGGCCTGGGCTGCTGGCCCTACCTTGCTGTAGAGGTACTTGCAGCAGAATGACTCACAGTCTCTGCTCCTGCTTTACCATCTCCTGAAGGACCGAGTCTTATACAAAAGCCGCCACAAGGGTGACATCTGTCCCATGAAGTATTCCTCTTGCCCTGGGATCAAGACTTCAGACCACCGTCCTGTGTACGGCCTGTTTCGGGTGAAAGTGAGGCCAGGGAGAGACAAGTAAGTCCCTGCTCACCTCTCAGAGCTGGCTGGGCTTTGGGATCTCTTGCCAGTTTTGGACGGGATGACTTTTTTGGGAGGGGTAGCAGGCTTAGGTGTGGAGGAACAATGTTTCTTGCTGTTAACACACCAGACAAGTTGGGTGCCAACAAGCCTAGATTAATATGAAGTTGTTTTCATCTGAGCCTAGGTCCTAGTAGTTCTCAGGATTTTCCTGTTATCCTCAGGTTGCTAACCTTTGGGGTTGCATGAAGAAGCAGCTTGTTCTGTGGCCTCAGGTTCCCTGGGGTTGAGCAAGCTCCTTCTGGAGCAGTATTACCTTTTTTGGCAATTCCACACCCAGGGAGTGGTTGGGGTAGGGCAGCCTAGATGGGATGAACCATAACCTTTGGACAGTGGTCCATTCTATCTGGAGCTCAGCAGGTGTGCAGCTGGGTGACATTGAGGCCAGCTCTTGTAACGGGTCTTTCTTCCACAGCATCCCATTAGCCGCTGGCAAGTTTGACCGAGAACTGTACTTGATAGGAATTAAAAGACGGATTTCAAAAGAACTTCAGAAACAGCAAACAATGAAGAATCAGAGCTCCAGTGCTGTCTGCACTGTGTCTTGAAGTCAGACAAGTACTGGCCACTGCAGCTCGGGGACCAAGGACACTGGAAAGAGATTGGGCTTGTTCTTTGGTGCCTCTTGCCATGTTAGGGTCTAATAAACTATGGCTAGGGGCTCTCCTGCTCTCACTACAGACCCCACCCCTCAGGACAGCAGTGGGCTGTTACCGGGCTATGCTTATGTCAGAGCAGCCCTATTATTTATGTCATGTTCCCACAGGCACATGACAGGGATTTGTTCTGAGTAGGTCATGTAGTCACCAAGCAACAGTTGCACACAGCAGTAGATAGTGAGGTTTGCCCTAAGCTCCCACACCTTCCCTGCAGGAAGTCCCAGCTTCCTGGCCTTGAACACTGCAACTTCTTCAAAACTCCTTTGTTCCTGTTCTAATATCAGAGCCCAGGTTATAGATGTGTTCTAGCAGCCCCTTTCCTTCTGGGAGGGATCAGGCAACCTCTGGTTGCTTAGACTTGCAATGGCCCCAAAACTAGCCAAGACCTAGAATTCCAAGGCCAAAGCCAGTCACTTCTGGAATGTGCCCAGCTGGCATTTTGGCAGGCTTTGGGGTTCTACATACCGGCCCCAGGCTCCCAGGCCTCCAGTTAAGTAGGGACTTCTCTCCACAGTTGTATCAACTCATGGTTTTGGGAGCTTCAGACCATTGCTGTTCTGCTGCTAACCCCAGAATGGCATTAGAAGTGTATAAAGTAGCACCTTGCTAGGCTTCATTCCTTGAAGGCGGCTTAGAACTCATTATTGCTTCTAATCTTACCCCATCCCTGAGAGTCATAGCCTTGAAGGGCATCCACTCTAGTCTTCTAAATAATTTATTTTTCCATATTTATATTTTTAAATAAATGCATATATTCAATTGTGAGCTCTTTCTGGCCAAAGACTGAACCTTGGAAGAAGCAGTGTTGCATGCATCCCAGAGCCTCAGGACAACTCCAGGATTTTAAAGGACAATAGAAATTAAAAGGTTTTTTTTTTTTTTTCATTTTATAAAGTTTCTGTGTAACAGCCCTGGCTGTCCTGAAATTTACCTTGTAGACCAGGCTAGCCTCAAATTCAGAGATCCATCTGCCTCAGCCTCCAGAGTGCTAGGGTTTTTACTCTCAAATTTAGTCACTTGCTACTTAGCCCCATCCCAAGTCCTTCTGCTAGGTGTTGTCCCTGCTCACAGCCAAAAGTGGCAACAGCTGGAAAAAGTGACTACTCCAGTGAACCATGGTAAAGCAAGCTAATGAGATAAAACCTGCCAGCATCAGCTTCAGGAATGTGGGATGTCAGCAAAGCCAAACCTTCTTGCTTTAATGCCCCCTCCCCCCACACACTACCCCAGCTGCCTTGGAACTTGTGACCTTTCTGCCTTTAGCTGCCTCCACTACTCCTGATTTGAGTAAGGTTTGGTGCTTTTCTTTCTTATTTGGGGAAGGAGTGTACAAGGCAAGATTTCTCTACGTAGGCTTGGTCGTCCTGGAATTAACTCTGTAGATGAGACCAGGCTCAAACCCACAGAGGTTCTCTTGCCTCTGCCTCCTGCTAGGATTAAAGGCATGCACTACCACTGCCTTTGGTGCTTCTTTGTGGACATTCTCTGGTCCTTTAGAAAAGACTGAGGTAATCCCAAACATCCCAGTTTGACCTGAGAGGAAGAAATCAAATCTTGGGTGTAAGGGTAGGAGGCAAAGTGCAATGATGACCATTTAGACTGCCATATGTTTAGACACGGAATTTCAGTTGCAAAGTTAAACATTTAAACTAGTGCAAATGAAGAGGGAAACTAGAAACTGGGCTTTGTAAATAATTGTGAGACACATCTGGCACAGTGACTCATACTTTGGTGCCCAGTAATTGAGGCCAAAGCAAGATGATCACTATGAGGCCAGCTTCATCTATATATTTAGTTACCAGAGAGCTAGGGCTAAGTAAAACCCCCATCTCAAAAAAAAAAAAAAAAAAAAAGGTGGGGGAGGAGGGGAGGGCTGTGAAATACCATCAGATTTATTCAGAAACTTAGCTTTAAAAATGAGCTGCCCAGGGAGCTGGAGAGAAGACTCAGTGGTTAACAGCACCGACTGCTTTTCCAGAGGTTCTGAGTTCAATTCCCACCAACATGGTGGCTTACAACCATCCACAAATAGATGTCATGCAGGCAGAATGCTGTATGTGTAATAAATCTTAAAAAAAAAAAAAAAAATGAGCAGGCCAGGTGTGGTGGCACATGTCTATAATCCTAGCACTTGGCAGGAGAATCTCTGTGACTTTGAGGCCAGCTTGATGTCTACATACTGAGTTCCCGACCATGTTGTGAGATCCTCTCTAAAGGAAAAAAGAACAGGTATGGGTGGCCCTGTATGCTTTATGTTGCAATGTTTTGTCTCCTTGGAGTCCTGGGGCTTCTAAACTTCTGACCTCAAGCCTGTGCCTTAACCCCCCCAACCTTCCTTGCTCTAGAATCTCTAGTGGCCAGACTGGCACTCAGTAAAGAACACTCATTAGATGAAGGAAGGACAAGCCACTTGCGTTTGAGACACACAGGTACGGTGGCAACAGTAACTTTCATTCTAGTTTTCAGTCTTACTGTTGGCACTGTTTACAGAGCTATCCATCCTTATGCAATGTCTACAACAACATGCATAGAAGCACTCCGCAGCCTGCCCTTAAGGGACTCTACCGGAAGAGCCGGTATGACCTAGGCAGGCGCCCATCTCTGCTGGCCAACGCTGCCTGGATGTGCTCATAGGTGGGCAGGTCAGTCAAATCACCCAGGGCAGCTACAGCAGGCTTCCCACGGAGCATCTTGGAAGCAACCCTCTTGATATCTTCTGGCTTCACATTGCCTACAACAAAGAGGAAAAAGCAGTGAGAACTAGAGCACAGTCTCCATCTCAGGCTGTGTGTGCACTCCACAAAGGCAGATTAAGGAGCCTTGCTCTACACTCCCACCACTGGGGGTGAAGGTGGAGGCTGCTGAGGGATCCAGCTCAGCTGTAGCTGGACCAACCAAGGGTGAGTCAGGGCAAAGTCAGAGTTTAGGTGGGGTACACCAGTGGCTTAAAACTATTTTCAAGCTGAATGGAGTGGTATATCCCTGTAATCCAAGCACTTCGGAGGCAGAGGCAGGAGGATCAGAATCAACGCCAGGCTGTGCTACACAAGACCCTGTCTCAAATCCCTAAGCAGCAGCAGCAAAAACTACTTTCAAACACATGAGGGCTGCCAGGCAGGGCGATGCATACTCAAGAGGCTGAGCAGGAAGATCTAGAGTTTGAGGACAATCTGAGCTGAGAGTCTGACAGACTTAAAAAACAATCCAACAATGGAGGGAATAGCCACCCCATCAGGAGTCTTGAGTTTAGATAGTAGGCTGTCAAAAGTCTACTTTTTTCCAGTCTGAAGAAAAAGTCCAGACTACTTCCCCCAGTGCTGCAAAAAGCCTGCACCCAGACTGCAGGCAAACTAAACAAAAGCCATGAGACGCACTGCCAGAGCCACAAGGCAGAGCCTGCAATGAGCAGTGTCCAAACCAGTGAAACTGCTCCACCACTAGGTACAGAATGGAACTGAGAACAAAGTCTGAGCTCTACCAGAGGACTTTCCCTGCCAGATTGTTGGAGAAGGCAGAGCTTGTGGTGTGGCAGACAAGAGGACCATCTGTCTATCCTCTCCAGGGCACAATCTCAAATAACCCAACCCAGGCTTGTGTGTACTTACGAATGAGCGTGCATAGTTCATGGGGGAGCTTTCTTGAATGTGTAGCCAACACCTGCCTCCCCACATCCTCAAAGATCACAGGCCTGGACTCCAGGTTCATCATGAGCATGGACATCAGCTGTGTCTTGGCCCGTTCTAGCTCCACCTGAGGGCCAAACACCACGAGTCACCTATAACTGGCTCAAGCTGGCATAGGGTCTGACCTAAACATACCCCAGTAAATGGCCTCCATGTGCCCAAAGATGAGCAGATTGGAGATGATGTTCCCAATGATGACACACCTCCTGAGCATGGGAGGAACTGTTCTGGAAAGGCCTTCATCACACCTGAGACAGACACATGCCCAATCTCTGCTGCCTGTTTGAATCACAGGAAAGCAACATGCATCAGGAAGCCACACTTGGCTACACAGGAAACCAGAGGATGTTGATGAAATAAGGACTCTGGTAGCTCAGACTCCTGAGCACAGGACCCAGGCCACTAGCCCCTGGATCTGAGGCAGCAGAATCAACAGCTGAGCCTCTGGCTAGGTGTGGACTTCAAACGTAGCACCAAAGAATCAGGACCAAAAAGGGACAGACCAAACTGGGTGTGTCAGCACTTGCCTGTAAGGCTAGCATACAGGAAAAGGCAAGGGGTGGGGGTGGGTACTGCAAGTTTAAGGTCAGCCTGGTTATGAGAGTTTGTCTTAACACAAGTTACTTGTCACTGTACAATTTCAGGCAAATACTTAATACTGTAAATTTTCTCGGATTTGACATTAGTAGAATGCACTTTTATCAAGATGTATTTGAAAAACAAAAAACAAAACAAAATAAAAAACCCCCAGAGCATTAGTTATGGCTGTGCTGGGGGTGGAACCCAGGGCCTTGAGCATACCTAGCAAGCTCTCTACCACTGATCATACCCCCAGACTTTGGTTTGTTTTATATATTAGCTTAGGCTGGCTTTGAACTCATTACCTCCTGCCTCCACTTCCTGAGAGACAGTTGGGATCACAGGCATGCATATGCATTACCTTGCCTTGCTGTGCTTTTAATTTTTAAGCGTATTTAATTTTTTCAACAATGTTGCCTTTTTTTCCTTAAAAAGACAGTATGCGGCATGTGACCACATAAGAAAGCTTGCATTATATAGAAAGAAGGAAAGGCCAAATATATGCTCCACCACCTTTAATCCCAGCACTCGGGAGACAGAGGCAAACAGATCTGAGTTCCAGGCCAGCCTGCTCTACATAGTTAGTTCTAGGACAGCCAGGGCTACACAGACAAATCTTACCTTGAAGAAAAAACAATAAACTTGGGTTGCAACATAAAATGGTGCCAAAGAAAGGTCCAGAAAAGATGCCACTTATTGCTCATCTTGTACAATGCTGCATTAACTCATGGTCATGCTATAAGAAACACTGTCCTTGGGTGGCACCACAGAGAAATAGCTCATCAGCCTGTGGCTCCTTCAGGTGTGTGACTTAGATGAGTGGATAAGAGTGCAAGGGATGCTCCAGGCCTTACCAAATCCACTGTTCTGCCCATCAAGATAAACTCCTTTGTGATGATTTCCACCATCTCTCGAACCTATAAAGGAGCATGAGATGAGGGTGAGAACTGAAGCACTGGTCTGCTGACTTCACGAGTACCCCTGCCACCACACCCAGAGCTGTGGTACTGCTTTGGAGTGTACTGGAGTGAGAAGTAAACACTGAAGGCTGTACAGACATGAGTGCTGCCTTTACCTGTCTTGGGTCTGCACTGGCATGAATGCATAGGAGGCCTGTGTCTTCATAGCTGTGGTGGTAGGAGGTTGCATTGTACATCCAGTGGTGCCTGTGAGGGGATATACTGTGTCTGGGTGAAGGCAACAGGATGTCTGGAAGGTGTCTGCACAGCTGCACAGGGACAGCAGCAATAGGCCAGCAGTACCCACCGATTGAGCACGTTGAGGTAGAGCCTGGAGAACATGCCTTTGCCAGGCCCTCCAGCTGAGAAGGAGCCACCTCCTCCCATCATCATATTCAAGACTGCAAAAGGGATGAAGTCATCCTCCTATGGAGCACAAGGTGTAAGAGTCAGCCACAGTGGCTTGGCCCTACTGATACACCTGGCCTATACCAGGACTCACCAGAAAGGAACAGCTCTCTAGTCCCACCATGATGTG